ACATTGTCCAAATAAACTCAAGGGCCAGAAAGGATAATTTAATGATTTGGGCTATCTATTCATGGGCAAGGTCATCAGACCTTGATGAGACCCCAATCACTTTCTAGTTCTCAGTTATTTACTTCTATGTACCACTCTTTTGATCATTCCCAGTACGAAGTCACAGGAGTGCCATTCAGCATTAGGCCGTACATGAGTTTCACAAATAAATGTGGTGGAGTACTGATTTCAAAATAATACTGAGAGTGGTGATCCTTCCTCTCTACATAATCCTGACAAGCCACATCTGCTGTGTCTGATCATTGGTTCTCCAGCACAAGAGAGACATAGACATACTGGAATAAGTCCACCAGAGAGCCATGAACATGTAAGGGACTGGAGTATCTGACATATAAAGAGAAGCCGAGAAAGCTGTGACTGCTTAGTTTGGAGCAGAGAAATCTCAGGGGGATATATCAATATGTCTAATAGATAATCAATGGGAATGGAGGGAGAGGACAAAGAACATGGAGTTAGACCTTTCTCTATAGAGTCCAGTGACAGGTCAAAAAGCAATGCCATCATCCTAAAATGCATAATTCATCTTAAATATGAGAAATTAATCAAACAAACAAATTCTTTCTCTCTCTCTCTCTCTTTTTTTTTTTTTTTTTTTTTAATGTAAAGTTGATCAAACACCAGAACAGATTGTCCATAGAATTTGCTGCCTCTCCGTCTTTGGAAACATTCAAAGCCCAACTGCACACAGGCCTGAGAAACCTGCTGTAGTTTCTTCTTTGAGCAGCAGGGAGGACTAGACAATCTCCAGATGTGCCTTCCATTCTCAGAGATTCAGTAACCACTAAAATTTTCAAAATCATTCCTTTTCACTGTGTTTTCTGTGTTCTTGAAGTTATTGACAGCAATCCTGGTTGGTTAAAACAGAGAAAATGTTAAAAATTTCATCTCTCAGCTTTGACCAGCAGGATCAGCAAGAATGAGAAACAACACCATGGCCGTATATGTGTGTTGAAGAAAGGCATCAGTGGCTAGCCACCAACTTCAAAACTGCAAAACTACATTCTTACAACCACTTTGCTGCAGATGAGCAACAGTGTATCTCTCTTGGTGTTTGGGTTGCACCATTAGACCATTCCAGTATGGGTCACATTTTTTTCTTGCGTGTCTTCAAAACAATATTTCTTGTCTTTGAGCAAACTGAAATTGCTTTTTATCAAGTATGCATTCTTTAATGTCTCTTTAAGCACTAGATTAGAAGGAAAGTTATCACTTCTAAACCAAGAAAGCTTCAGTGTAGAATCCATAATTTCTCTGGGCCTTCACCATGTCAACAACAGTAAATGTAATTAAATGAATTGAGGTTTTTAATTCAATTTGGTTAATCAACTTCTCTGGGTTGCTCTCATCCCTCAGGCTGTCTCACTGACCTCTAGCTGCTTTTCATCAATGTGAAACCTCTTTCTTGATAAGGATATATGTATACATATATAAAATACGGTTTTATGAATTACTTCTTGTGTTACAGGACAAGAAACATGTTTTGAAGGCCCTTGCACAGGAACTGAGTCTGCACTGGCATCTTGTAAGACTTTATACAAACCTCAGTAGCACCCATATTGCTAAGCAAAGAGATTATTCAGGACTACTGTGTGATTCTACATGAAGCTGTGGTTATATTTTGGGGAAATGAGGCCATGCACTTTGAGGAGACATAAAAGAACCGTTTAAGGTGATAAGTAAGAGATAAGTAAATTGGGTAAAGAATACTCAGAAGGCAAAACCAAGAGAATTTTTGAACTTTGTTCTTTGGTGGAAAATTAACGTAAAACTGTGTTCATTTAAATACCTGTGTCTTCACAGGGAAAATGCAAACCATACTGATTATCAGTTCACTTTTAAAAATTTATTTCAAGTAACATAGTTGAGTGAGAAGAGTATTTTTCTGTCAGGTGGCAAACCTCTTTATTGTTCTTTACTCCTATCTCTTGACTTGCTGAGTTGTGAGATGATTTACTTTTTTTTTTTCTTTTTTCTTTTCCTCTTACTGATAAAACAACCAGGGCAATATAATTGTTGTTTGTAAAGTTGTTTGTGATTAGTTTCTATAACAAACATTTTCGTTTTGGTCCAGTGTTATATTTAGCGGTTATTTCCAGAAATTTAACTCAAAAATTGAGGAAGAGATGCTGACATTCTTTGTCTTATCTGATTAATGAGAGCATTTAGATACTGTCTCTGGGGGAGAACCAAAAGTCACAAACGCTGCTCTTCAAGGCCCTGCTGGAATGATGCTTGAAGTCCTTGAGATGACCAGGAGCTTCCTCATTCACTTTCCTCTCAAAAGCATGAGACGATTTTGCCCCTTCAAAAATTCTCATGGAATAGGCATAGTAATCTCTGTGTGCTGTGTATTTCAAGTGACAGCTATTCTTTATAGCTCCTCCCAAGTAGGAAATGATCTATCTTCTCTTTCTGCTGCCTGGGTCATCCTCCAATCTGTAGCCTAATTCTCTTCTCTTCATACACTGAAGATAGAATTAAAAAGAGAAAGGCTGAAGGTAATTTTGTTGAAAAGTGTAGACATGGCAGATGAAGCTGTTGCTCCAGAAGAGGTCCCATTCCTGCATTTGCAGACCTGGTCTTGCATCAAAGGCTACCATTCACTCCTAGCTGCTTCTATTTTCCTGACCAGTTAAATAAACTAGATTTGTAAAGGTCTAACACTAAAATGTCTATATATATAAGTATATATATATAGAAAGGCATATGAAGTGATTTTTCACGTCTCATTCACAGAAGAATGTATGTTAAACTACAAAAACTCAGACATGTGACAATATCTTGGTTGGTTGCTTGCTTGTTTTTTTCTTATATTGACTGGTTCTGTTCTATGGCCATTTCAGTCTGTTAAATCTGGAATAAGCATATGCTCCATTTTGTTGTTGTTTGTTTGTTTTAACCTCTCAGAAATATACTCTTACTTTTCATTTGAATTTTTAAATTCAGTACTCAAACCCTTGCTACTTTGGATTTTTTATTTTTATTTTTTAATGTGGAAATTACATCATATTCTCATAAGAAGCACAGTTATTTCCATAGACCATCAACATGCTCTCAGTCTGACTTCCACTGTGATGTACTAAAGAGTCTAAATTATTCATTTCTCTGACATTCTCTTTTGTTCTTTCATTCTTTCCCCCCTTAAAACCATTAATTATCTTACCTGCATGAAAACACAATAGAAAAAAAATATATATAACTACATAGAAATGTCAGAAGATGGTAGCTCATTTTTTTAATCTTGATCTTTTAATGTATCTCATTTCAATTAAGACCTCAGGTTGTTAAAAATAACTTCATTGTATATTTGGTATTTAAAAAATAAAGCTCATTTCTAGGGCCTTTTGTAAAATGCTACTTTTCTTCTAATATCTCAAGTTCATACATGCCAGATGAGACAATTTTCTGTCAAAACAGGCCAGGGAGTTTCTGCATTACAAGTGTTCATGAAGTACAGGGGCAGTAGGTCAGAATATAACATTTGGGCTCAATGTGTGATTTTTTGTTGTTTTGTTTTCTTTTGTTTTTTAATCTTTTTATTTTTTCAATTAAAAAAAAATCTGGCTGCTTTTAGAGGCTGGTCAAGGCCTTTCTTTTCTGATCAAATCCAAAAATCACTGTAAGCAGTTTGCAGCTGCTCTTTTAAAAATAAAACAAAACAAAACAAAACAAAACAAAACAAAATAAAATAAAATAAAATATTTTTTATTGTCACTTTATGAGACTTTATAATTAAATACTTTTACAGTAATTAAAGGTGATTCTGACTTATAAATATTGTGATTTAAATATTCGGAGGTATTTGATGTACACTTAAGAAGAGGATTGTTTTTCTTTTCATTTAAAGAAAAGAATGGCATATTTTATGAAGCTTATGTACAAAATAGACTGTGTCCAAACACAGGTAAATATAGGTAAATGCATCTAGTCTGAAGCATTTCTTTATTCATTTCCTTATTACTTAACTTATCTGTACAGAAGAATCCAGATGACACCTTATTTTTTAAAAAATGAATGTGATATACATTTGTGTATCTATATCTGCATGACTTTTTTTTCTACAGAACAGCTTCTAACTTGCTACCACCCCCTCCAAATAAAATAAAATAAAAATAAAAATAAACACATAGACGATTTAAATTGATAAAACATTACAATAGCAGCTTATTCAGCATTTATAAGTATTATCTAGTCATTGACAGCTTCTTCTTATAAGCAAAAACTACTTCAAAAATACCAAAATACTGCTTTTCACTTACAGAACACCAGCAAAAAGGAAGAGTCGTGACAACTTCCAGATATATTTCCAGAGTATATATATTCCTACGAAGGTCTCTTACTTCTTCAAAAAAAGAAATTCAGTGGAAATACTGTATCCTTAATAGTTAAAGATATGGTTAAGGGAGGCGATTCTTTATCCATATTCAAAGCTCAGACGTGATATTGTGTTACTTCCCTCTCTTTAAAACGATTTTACAGCAAAAATAATGAAGTTGACTCCTCAGTTTCTATTCTAATCGGAAGAAAACCCCCTAAAGAATGAGATTTCATTACGGGAGAGACCTTTTAGCGAAGAGTTGGATTTTAATTTAGAAGGAAAAACAAAAGTTAGCCGTTCCCGGTCTCTCTCTCGCTCCAGGACGCGGGGTAAAACACATCTTTTTTCACTCATCTCAGATCTCTGTAAGGGGGAACTCCCCCGAATGAAACTCCACGGTCTTATCTTTACGACTCTAAGAAGCTAGGGTGATTTCGTGGCAAATATTTTACAAAAAATATGAATTTATAACTCCGAAGAAACACAAACTGAGAGGAGGAAAGCTCTTCCTGGCTCACAGTTAGGCGGGCTCTGCAAAGCACCAATCACAGATCACCGCTTCGCTATAAATTCAGGCATCGGGGTTACTGTAGCCCAATTACTTTCTTTTGATTAGGAAGAAGTCTCTGCCGCGATGTCGGAGACAGCTCCTGTTGCCGCGCCCACGGTCGCGGCCCCCGGCGTCAAAGCCGCCGCCAAGAAGCCCAAGAAGGCGGCGGGCGGCTCCAAAGCCCGCAAGGCTTCGGGCCCCAGCGTCACCGAGCTCATCACCAAGGCCGTGTCCGCCTCCAAGGAGCGCAAGGGGCTCTCGCTGGCCGCGCTCAAGAAGGCGCTGGCGGCCGGCGGCTACGACGTGGAGAAGAACAACAGCCGCACCAAGCCCAAGAAGGCGGCGGCCAAGAAGCCCGCGAGCGCCGCCAAGAAGCCCAAGAAGGCGGCGGCGGTGAAGAAGAGCCCCAAGAAAGCGAAGAAGCCGGCGGCTGCCGCGGCCAAGAAAGCAGCCAAGAGCCCCAAGAAGGCAGCCAAGGCTGCGAAGCCCAAGAAGGCAGCGAAGAGTCCGGCGAAAGCGAAAAAGGTTGTGCCCAAGGCTGCCAAGCCCAAGGCGACCAAGCCCAAGGCGACCAAGGCGAAGAAGGCAGCGCCCAAAAAGTGAAGTGTTAAAGTGGAAATACTTAAACCCAACGGCTCTTTTAAGAGCCACCCACGATTGTCCGAAAAAGGGCTGATACACTCAATCAGCAAACCCCGCGCCCGCAGAGGGGCTAACCACACACCACTACCCGTGTGGGAGGACATTGGTCTGTGCAGTGGATGGGACGCCGAACTTCCGGTCGTCGTTACGCTAAGACTTGGAAAAAAAAATAAAGTTTAAATATCCTGGGAAACGTCTTTATTTTTTCGCAGCGCCACAAGACGATGTGTTTGTTAAAGGGACTCTTGAGGGCGGGAGCGGGGCGGGGGGGGAGTTGTGACGCACCGTGGCATGCAGGTTTCTAGCGGCGCTTTAACTAGTGCCATTCCTAGCGCAGCCCAACAGTCTGCCGCACTCTGCAGTCCGCAGCTGCAAAGTCTCCGCACGGCTCCGCCGCGTCCTTGGCGATGACCTTTCCTCGCCGCAGCGCTGTCATGGGGCCGCGGGGCAGTTCCTAATTTCTACGTGACTTCACGGGTCTGCTGTTAGAAGGATAAGTTTGTCGGGGCGGGGGGGGGCCCCCAGGGGGGAGGGTCCCGCCCT